TCCAGACAACTGATAAACCGAAAAGAGGAGATTTAAAGAAATGAGTTCCAGAACGAATCTCCTCAGCTGTCGAACAACAAGGTCAATCTTGCGTTCTTTTCGAACACGAAAATTCAAATTTTGAATTTTTTCAAACTTGTCAGCTCGTCTCCTTCCTTCTCAACAAGGGTTCTTACATTCCACGACGCAATAAGGAGCACAGTACCACGACCTGCTGGTGCGTTGGCCTTCCTAGGTGGGTGTTCAGGACGAGGGAACGCAACTCCTCTACACCCAGGTGAGCCGGGAGAAAGTCGATTGTTCGCATATATATAACCTGTGATCGACTTTTCTCTGAGTCCCGGTCTCACGACGACAGCTGGGCGTCATCTTTCCTAGGGGACCTATTATGTAAGTCTACAACTAAGCCAGTGCTGACTCTACACACGCAGAGCCAGCCCGTGGCACAAAAAAATCTTACTACGAAGGGAGCTCCGAAAAGTGCGTCGTTCCCTGCAACTCACACATACATACATACATACATACATACATACATACATACATACATACATACATACATACACGTGTATATCAATGTACAAAACAACGGCCTATAAGTATAACGCTGTCAATGAGCAACTTGAGTTGCTTGGTTACTGCTGGATGAGACGGCTAGCAGCCACTGCTGGTACTGTGGGTCGGTCAGATCGTGTTGATTCTCATTTGCGCCTCCAGTGTGCAGTACAATGCGAATTTGTGAGCAGATAATTGCAGCATCATCATGAGTGGTAGAAAGTGGGGACTATGCTGCACCTCCTGCAGCTGCTGGAGTACTTGCGTGGTCTGGAGCATTATGTAAAACAGGGTTGTTGGTGTTAGGCCTTCCAGATGCTAGATGATGTGCTATGCGTTTGGCAATAGCAGAGCTCGTTGTGACTAGCACACGCTTATTGCCACCCGGTTCGTGCCATAATCCAAGGATGCCAGTTCGCTGATTCCTCTCAAATGCCAACACCAGATGATTGTACCTGTAGGCAAGATACGTAACGTTGTTGTTGTTGAAGAATATTTGGACTGCTACAAACACCCATGTTGCAGCGAAACTGCCACTCCAGCTTTTTTTCTGAGACTGTGACAGAAGCCTGACTAGTGCTGCAATGTGTACTGCTGTGATTCATGAATTCAGTTGACATTCTTTGCCTTCCCTGGGTAATATTGCAGTTCTTCACAACATGCTTAACACAGTTTTATGCTGCTTTTACAGTCTAGATCAAGGCCCAGGCTCATGAAAATGTGACAACTTGACCATGTATAATATTACGTGTCTGTGACTGTCTCTGCTCAAGTTGTTCTACAAGGCATATTGCCAATATTTCAATACTCAGTTTCATAATATAAACAGATTCCTGTCATAGTTCAATGATACAAGCACAGCCATACTACCTTGAACCCACAGCCTTCTCCTGAGAAACACGGGCACATGTCAGAACTCACCCAGTGTAGCCTTAGAGTTCATAGGATCAATGCTTTCCACTCCAACCAACATGAGGCTCAGATGTCTGACCAAATTCTCCTGCCCACACATAGAGCACTTCACTGGCATGTCCCGGTCGCTGCACCTACTGGCTGTTCCAGACCACACTCAGTACTCACAGAGATCAAGTCTCTATTTGCAGACACTACACCCTGACTCCACTATCCCCAGGTTCTGCAGGTACAAGACCCGTTTTTCTATCACAGTCGTCAGTAACATCTTTATCTGGCGACTGGAAAAGAAAAAATAGATATCGTTCCAAGTGCCACTCAAGTGGATGCACTTGAACTTGAGAGAAGCATGCCACTTATTTATTTATTTATTTCGCCTTCCCGTGGCCAGAGAATATAGGCCAATATGGAGGGAGGGGGCGGTAGCCAGCCATGGCAGTAAACAAAACAAAGCAAAATAAATAAATATTACACATAACTGGAGGTAAAGAGAAACAAATCTGGATGAAGAATTAGCAGTTATTAGAATACGAGCCTCATGTTGGCCTTGAAATCTTTTAGCGTACCAGACAATTTTACTGCAGAGCCAGCCAGAGAGAATAGGCAGCGAAAAACGGAGATCTGGTATAAGCTAATGTTCAGGCTTTAGGTAAAGTGCAGGGATTGCGCGTAGGACGAGTGGTAAGACACCAGTTATATTTACACACGTGTGGCGGGGCTTTGTCAAGACGAATAAAATGAACAACAATACACAGTTTTCGATCAGGCGTCCCTCAGGGCAGCATCCTAGGGCCCACATTGTTTCTAGTATACATAAACGACGCCGAAGATCAGCTACCTGCCAGCGTCTCCATCGCCGTGTATGCTGATGATACTACGTTATACACGTCTGTCATGCCTGGACAGACCACAGAGGCCGCCGCAGCTGCACTTCAGACAGCCGTAAACCAGCTGGAAGCCTGGGGAAGTACTTGGAGGGTTACCTTTGAGCCCTCTAAGTCACAGCTGATGTCCGTGACCAGGAAGCTGGCCCCTCTAGACTTCCCCCCTGTCCAATTCCTTGGCACCCCTGTTCCTGTCAGCAGCCAGTTGAAGCTCCTTGGGGTGGTGTTCGACGAGAAGCTCAACTTCAGCGCCCACCTCCACCAGCTTTCTGTGCGCGCACATCAACGCCTCCATTTCATGCGGAAGGCAGCCCCCATCCTGGATGCTGCTGGACGCCTAACCGTCTATAAGGGCTTTGTAAGGCCCATACTTGAGTATGCCCCACTAGCCTGGCTTGGTGCTGCCCAGACCCACCTTGGGAAGTTGGACACAGCACAGCGCAAGGCCATGCAGATGATTGGACCCACCACCGTCCTCCAGAGTCTGCGGGCCAGACGGACGGTCGCAGGGCTGTCCTATCTCTACAAGGTAGTTAACTGCAAGGGCCCACCCCGTCTGACACGCATGCGCCCTCCCCCAAAACCACGGGCCGATACTGTTCGAACCCGCCAGCAGCATTATGCTCAGCGCCAGCACCGGGAACAGCTCTTAAACACCACCCCCGGCACCAGTCCTGATTACCTTCGACGTTCCTTCCCGTACTGTTTCCTTGAATTGTGGAACAGCCTCCCCGAGGACGTCTTTCCCCGTCTGGCCAATCACTCTCCACTCACAGCTTTTAAAAAAGGTGTCGACAAACACATTTCAGACCAGCCATGGTCTTGGGACGTGCTTTGAAGCCCATCATGTTGATCGTCTCACTGTTCTTTCCAGATTGCACCTCTCGGTTTGGGGATGTGCATTGAAGCACCCCATACTAACGGTCTATACTGTCCTCTCTTGGTCACCACTCTCCCTATTACCTATATTGTAATTACCATTCATGTATTGCGCTTCAGATTTTCTTCCGTTTTTGTCTCTTGGTGCGTTACCGGCATGGCGATACTGAGACCTAATGGTCAGTGGAGTGCCTGTAGCCTCACCAGCACTGCTACTATCTGTGACTGTGGCGACCACCATTCAATGTCTAGTCCTCCCCTAACCGTACCCCAACTCTCTCTCTCTCAGCTCTCTTTTTATCTGTCTTTTCTTACTCTTTTTCTTTGTCAGCTTTCCTGGTGGTTATGTGCTTTTTCAAGTAAATAAAAAAATAAAAATAAAAATCTGCTTTACTAGAGATAGGGAAAGTGTTAAACATATCATACAGCTCGGCAGAAGGAAAGTATGATTGTTTGCGGAAAAAAACTTTGAGTATCCTTTTATTGTGGACTTCCAGGGTACTCATTAACGATTTACTTAGTAGGGATGACCAGACGGTTGAGCAGTAGAGAAAAATGGGGAGAATATAGCAATGATAAAAAGTCGAATGCATTCGAGCGGTAGGTGGGAGCATGGAGACACGAGGTAGCCAACAGCTTCACTGACTTTGCTACAGATGTAATCGGCATGTCTACTTAACGATCAGTCTGAGTCAATTACCAAACCAAGATGCTGGTATTGTTTTACCACTGAGAGGCCTGTGAGGGATCCGAGAAGACTGAATGCATAGGTTGGCTCTGAGTTCGGCAGGAATAATATCTCAGTCTTGGCGGTATTAGGTCTTAGTCTCCAGGTAGTCATCCACTGATGGACTTACCTGCGCTCTGAGACTGGTACATGTATCACTGGTAGCTGGCTCTGGACGATCTTTTGTTGTCTTCACTGGCAGGCGAGACTGAGAAAAGGGCATATCTGAGTTAGAAGTAAGAAGTACACGAGCTGAAGAAGATCGAACATGCTTTGTTTTGGACAACCTCTTCTGAAGCTGGGGCCTGAGCGCAAACGAAAACGGCCGTGCTTATTGATAACTACAAGTACTTGACACGAAGCTCCGTAGCTCCATCGCTGACATCCAGCAAACCAAAAATGGAAAATACAAAACCTTCAAACTAATCAAGGACTCCAGTTTCTTTGATTTCTCGCAAAATAAACTTTTGAACACGACTATATCTCGCAAATAAACTTTCTCCAGCCGCGGACAAAATGTTATCAAATACGAAAATTTGCATAAAATCATGCCCACATTTGGATGCACGCGCAGAAGTACTGAGCCCCCTTAAGCACGGCTTGAAAGTCTCAGATATGAAATCGTTGCCCGATATACATGTATGTCGAGGACGACACTGGTAAGAGCATTAGACAAAACGGGTAACCACAATTCAAGTCCGCGGAGCAACATATCACACCACTTGTGTGGTTCTAAAAGCGCCATCTCCGTTCGCCAGTGTCGTGCAATGTGACGTAACTGGTGTTGTTAGTGGATATTATAGCGTAACTTGTAGCTCTTTGGTCCTCTTTCCCTCATATAAATTACTGATATTGCTTTGCTTTGCTTTTCATCCTAGTCCATGCTTTGCATTTCGTCATACATTGCGTTGCGTTGCACCCTTTTTCTGTTCCACCTTTGTGCTCTTTCCAATAAAGGTTTTAGATAATTCGGAGTATGTTTCAAATTTTTTGGGGTCCGGGATCGAGAAGTTTATTTGATTGCGCTTCTGTGTTGTTACTTCCAGGTTCATGCGACGACATTGATGAATGTAGTACAGGTGATGTCTGTGGATCTAGCACAAGCGATTGTGTAAACCAGCCGGGAAAATATACATGCACATGCAAAGTTGGGTACATCAAAAAAGGAGATAATGACTGCACCGGTAAGGGCCCTTACACACTACGTACATGTAAAACTGAACTAACGTTGCCCATGCGCCTGCCTGATCAAGTGCAGTTGCACACTGACAGGTGATCTGCTTTTTACGTACATGTAGTGCAGTTCGGATGAAAAGTTCTGGTCTCAGAACGAGTGCTGTGTGTGCTTCTTTGATTTCGTTCTGCATCTTGTTTTGGAGCCATGCCCATGGAGCTCAGGTTGACTCCGGCAAGGAGAAAGCGGCGACGTAAAATTGTTGCCGCCATGATATTGTAGGACATGCAGAAGCTAGTGAAGTCGTCTGATGGCGGTCCTGTTCTTGATATTTTCTAGATGACGGATCACAGTTGCTCAAATTTCATGGTCACGACGATGCTCAGCATGCGGTTACGGTGTTGTGAAACCACAATCTCTCGAGAGTGAAAGGCCTTCTCGCTTGTGACATTGTGTTCGTCCCAATACAGTTGTATCCCGACTCCGCCGTACCGCTGATGTTTACGACGTGGTATACGCTACAGGCGCTATGTGCGGTTTGCTTTGTGCGCTGTAGTTTTTATTTATTTATTTATTTCAGTGAACTCGTGGTTCATGACCAATTGGCACGCAAAGTGCGAGAGAGGGGTGATAGCCAACCACGGGAAGAAAAGAAAAGAAAGAAATAATAGAAAAAGAGAAGAAAGAAGGATAGACAAGAATCCAGTATTGAAATCCTATCGTACTACATTATGCGATCGGAGTGCATTTTTAAAGCTGGAAAGACATTTTGATGTCTTAATATGCTGGGGAAGTTGCAGCCAAAGGCTGTAGGACAAAAATAGAGGTAAGTTGGTAAATGCGGCTGAATTAGCACGGGGAAGTGAGAGACTATTACGAGTGGACCGGGACAGAGAAAACCAATCAGTGAATACGGAGAGATGAATGGGAATTTTACCCAGGCGAATTCTGTGGATCAAAACGCAAAGCCGCTGTTTGCGATTATCTTGCAGTGGCTGAGTATTGCTGATACAATAGAGCTCAAGACTAGGAAATAAACGCTGCTTGTTAAACAATATTTTAGGAAGAGATTTATGTTGGATTTCAGGTTTGTTCACAAGATGTTGACTTAGACTACACCAAGACTGACATGCATACTGGAAAATAGGTAATAGATACGAGCGATAAAACATAGAACGGCATGTGTTTGGCAAATGAGAACGAATATGCCGAGAACATTACTAGTTTTCTTGCAAATATAGTCTACATGAGGAGCCCATGTTAGACAGTCCTCAATAATTATACCAAGGTGCTTATGTTCATGGAAGATTTCTATTGTCGATGAGCTGCCAGGACATGATAAAGACACATTACAGAACTGATCACCAGCACCGCAACAGAAAAACATCACTTTGGTCTTTCAAGTGTTTGGTCTCAGCTCCTAAGTCGACATCCAAGAAATGGTGGAGTTTATCTTTTTCTGGAGGTCATTAACTAGCAATTGCCTGCAACTATTTGAAGCGGAAACTGTGGTGTCATCGGCGAACAGTGAAACATTAGGGACAGACATCGGTAGATCATTGACGTAGACTAAAAAGAATAGTGACCCCAGGATTGACCCCTGTGGCACACCAGAGTTAATTGCCTGGGGAGACGAGTGGGTGTTGCCTACGCGTACAGCCTGTAACCTGTCGGTTAGGTAGCTTTCAAAGAAACAAAGCAGGTGGCCACGAATGCCATAGGCACCCAACTTGGCAATCAGGCCTCTATGCCAAACAGTGTCAAAGGCTTTCGCCAGGTCAAAGAAGCACATGCTAGTATGTTCTTTCAAAATGTCGGGACTGCATGATGTTTTGGATTAGGTGGACTAGGTGCAGAGCTGTGGAGTCTCCTCGCCGGAAACCAGACTGCATGGTATGCAAGTACGGGGACAAGTGTCGATATTGCTGATCGTACACAATGCGCTCAAACAGCTTTGAAATACAGTACAGTAGGGAGATGGGTCTGTAGTTCGTTGCATCCGACCGGTAGCCTTTGCGCTTATAAATTGGGACCACTAATGCGTATTTCCATGAGGAGCGAAAGATTCCAGACGACAGAGAGATGTTAAAGAGCAGCGATAACGGATATGCTAGGCTGTCTTGGAGGTGTTTCAGGATTTCGTTTAGTATACCATCGTAACCTTGTTCGGATACTCAAAAGTCACTTTGTGCTGCCAAGCTGAGATCGATAGCTGAAGAACATGCCACACAACAACCAGACCGTAAATCCTTCTCTTTGTCTCGAGAGCACTTGAAAGCCCTCCGAGATCTCAGAGCACGGAAAGACATTATTATCACGAGACCGGACAAAGGTAGAGCCACTGTTATAATCACTAAAGAACAATACCACACGAAGATGGCTACTATCCTTGATGATCGGTCGAAGTTTGTTAAGTTAGGCCCTGTACAGATACACGACCGTACAATAGCTATAGAATCTGATATCGTCAAGTACTTGCGGAAGCTGCGGAATGCAGAGGAAATATCTAAATATGAGTACTTACGAGTTAAACCGATTGGTTCAACACGGCCCAGACTTTATGGATTGCCGAAAATCCATAAGAAGGATTGTCCCCTTCGCCCAATACTTTCAATGTGTGGTTCACCTCAATATACAGTTTCGAAATGGTTGTGCGATATGATTACACCAGTAGCTAAGTACTATTGCAAACACAATGTAAAAGACACTTTCCAATTCATCGATATCCTGCGTGAGCAGCCAGTACCGTCTTCTTCCCACATGTGCTCCTTCGACGTTGTAAGCTTGTTCACCAATGTGCCCGTGATGGAGACAATTGACATTTGCGCTAATGCTCTGTACCACGACAAAGAGTACAGTAAACAGTTCGATTCTCCCTGGATGTCCGAAACTGCTTTCCGCAGACTAATGCAGATGATGACAACTGATGTTGAATTTTCTTTTGATGACACCATGTACCGCCAAATTGACGGGGTGGCCATGGGTTCACCATTGGGTCCAGTTCTGGCCAATGTGTTTGTCGGGTTTTATGAATCGAAGATTCCAAGTGCGATGTGGCCAAGCTTATATGTTAGATTCGTGGATGATTCGTTCACGCATTTCCGTAATCTGGAACAATCGAATGAGTTTCTTGGTATGCTCAACAACCTACATCCCGCTCTGAAATTTACATGTGAACATGAGCAGTCAAACCGTTTGTCTTTTCTCGATGTGTTAGTCGAGAAAACGGAGATGGCTGTTTCAACTTCAGTATATCGAAAACCAACGTTCACCGGGCAATACATTGTCTACGACTCCTATTGCTCGACTTTATACAAAACTAATCTCGTACGAAATTTGATCATGCGCGCTAGGCGGATTTGCTCGCCTGATAAGCTTCAGCAAGAGCTTTGTTTCCTGAAGAAGGTATTCGTTCAGAATGGATATCCTGTTCAGCTCCTCAGTAAGCTGTTTAGCGAACCTGATATTCAGGTTGCCGAGCCTGAGTTTGGACCTGACCCATGTCGTGTATTTTTACGACTTCCATGGAAAGGTCAAATTTCGTTGGATGTGGCCCGCGCCGTGAGGACTGTGGTCAGACAAACCTATTTTGCCACAGCATTGACAACTGTCTTCACTACGGCCCGTGCGTTCACGGTGAAGAAGGATGTTCTTCCTACCCAACTAATTAGCCATGTAATCTATCATTTTGAATGTCGGCATTGTGATAGCCGATATGTAGGAAGAACCCTTCAGCACCTGAACGCACGCGTCAAACAACATGTACCATTGTACCTTTTGTCAGATGCAGCCAAAGCCCAGCGACCTGGACGAGGCCGTCCCCGCAAACAGGTGCCAGTTGCACAACAGAACCACACTATTACAGTACCGGTTGAACCCACTGCAAGTGCACAGTTACGTGAGACTGTAGGAAATGGACAAGCACAGGTACGGAGACCAGTAACAAGGAGCATGACTCGTGCGCTGGTAATGGCATCTACAACCGGACATGGACTGGCAGTGAGCAGTAGCGTGGGATTGTCGTCGGGTGCAGAGGACGGGATGGAAGAGGAAGAGGATGAAGAAGGTGTGAGCAGTGATGAAGAGAGTGAGTTGGACAACCAAGATCAAGATGACCGGACTGAAGGTGAGAGCACAACAAAAGGGTCAGCAATTAAAAAACACCTCTTGTCTAGTAGCCAATGCCGCTCAGTGTATGACGATTCATGCTTCACTGTTTTGTGCCGTGCTCGTAGGTTTCGTGAACTTAAGGTATTAGAAGCTGTTTTCATCCGTAAACACAATCCTAATCTATGCATTCAGAAAGAAAATGTCACAAAATTGAGACTCTTCACCTAGCATTCACACACATATTCATTCGCATACACCTACACCTCACACTTCCTCACTCTATCACATTCACCTGCTTCCACGCCTTCATTTCACTCACCTTTTGTAGTAGCTCACACCGTCTGAACCCTCTCACATCTTTTCTGCTAATTTCTTTCGTCTTCTCTCCCACTTAAGTTTTTTTTTTTCTTCACACCTCACCTTGTATACTCCCCACTATCCTATAACCTATAAGTAGTTTGTTTTTCCGTACAGCCTCTATTGTGAGACGATTTTTCCCTGATGATAGTCTCAAGAAAATCGATTAGGAACAACCATCTTAGATACATGTATTCTCATTCATCATTTTTGTAATGTCCGCTTCACTTATACTATTAATCGCATTAATAAAGTTATTGTCTCCTCGTCGCCTTTTCAGTAACCAGGAGACTTCTTATTGGGGAGACTGCGTATGCATCTGGTTACAGTACGGGATGAAATCGTCAGCGATGTAAACGTTGACTCTACAGGTATTTGGTGGATAAGAGGAACTAACCATTCAGGTCTATCCTTAACGCAGAAGCTGGTAAACTGCTCATTCAGAGCATCCGCAATATCAAGAGGCGCAGTGGCGGAACTTTGGTCAGACCGTGTGATTGCTGTTGGACTAGAGCCCAATGACGATGCTGATTTACGAAGAGT